CCAGTTCACAAGAATTCGACTATGAAAGTTGAAAAATGGTGAGCAACTCCGCTTCGCTCAGGATGTATATATTTTTATAATTAAATACAATTAAAATTTTTTTGACAATATCCATTTTTACTTTAATAGCTAGATTTCACATACAAACTTTCATCTCCATTTACACCGCCTTAAGGGATGATCTCCGTGATAAAAATTATTCTATGCCCTTTCCAGGGTCTCAAACTACTTTTTTATTACATCGAAATCGGTTCAGTAGTTCCAGAGATTAGCTTTAAATACATACATATTATAAATATAAACCCATGGCAGGAGTGCAAATATTCGTGCTCATCAGATAAATGAATGCTCCCAGTGGGACTCGAACCTACAACCTCTGGCACAGCAAGTAGAGTCACTACAAACTGAGCCAAAAGATTAACATGTCTTTTAGTTAATATAAAAACCACTGCGTTGACTATAACTACTGTGTAATCCACACGGGAAGGGTAGAGAGCTCAATCAAATGCCTTAATCAAATAAGTACATAGTTAGGGCGGGTCGTCGGTTTTATTATAAGATAAATGTAGACAATCCAATTAATTACATGTAAAAGTATCATATTGTTCAATAGTTAGAACTAAAATTATAAGTATCTCAGAGATTTTGGCTAATGCAATAACGGTCGTGGGTTCAAAATTGTCTGATGCAAAATTTGTGTTTTATTATCGCAGTTTTATTAGTAAACAAATCTGGTCACATGTGTAAAGATAAAAGAATCCATCCCAAGAACCCTATCTAAGACGATAATAATTCATACTTAATATTATAAATGTGAAAGTGTGTTTCATGTTTTTTGTTTCTTTTTTCTTCTTTCACAGATTGGCGTCATTTTTTGTGTAGAGATGCTTAGAAGGCTGGACAATGACTTAGGCTACTTTTTACAGCGGGAGGCTATCTCATTCTCACGGGAAAATACGATATAATACAACCCAAAACAACTCATCATACCCATTATATACATATAATATAATAATACATATAGTCTACCTAGTCCATACTTAACTAATGGTTAGTTATCGCTATAATTTTTATTGTGACACATCTGTATATCTTTCCTGCATTAGATTATGACCCAATTTAAAATTAGAAGTATAAAACTTTCTCTGTTATCCATAAGTCCCTATAAAAAATTTCATCAAAATAGGTCTTTCCCTTAACTGTAAAAACTAAGCGGATAGACAAAAATAATTTTCTAATCATACTATATCGTATTCGTATTCATAATATAGTATATAGTATATGGATACGAAAGTTTGTATGTATGCGTGTGTATGTTTGTTTATCCTCTCCATGTTTATACCTGAAATTACGTACTCTTAGGAATAAAGTTTGCGAAAAGATGGCACTGATCGTTTACCAAAAGATTATACACACATTATAGGTAGATAGCAGGTACATATGAAAAAGTGTGTGTGTGTGCAATTCACACACGGTAGAAGTGAAACTTCAGAATATTAACCTACGAGAGAATGAGATGAATATAGAGTATCAAGAGTAAGATTATTTACAAGAATAAAATTATTGTAAAGTTTATTTTTTTCTTCTTTTTTACCAAGTTTAAAAGTTTTTTAACTTATATTACGTTATAATCATTTAGTGGCTATTTTCAATTAAAGTTATTTCAAGGCCCATCCATGGTCTATATGAACTTTTAGGTGTCATCAAAATATAAATTTGAAGTATCGGTTCTTCTTATATTCTTTACTAGCGACTCACCCTCGCTTCGTTCGGGTTCGTCCCTAACTTGCTTACCAGTACAATTTTCATTTTCATTTTCACCCCCTTAAGGGATGATTTCCGGGATAAAAAGTTTCCTATGTCCTTTCCAGGGTCTCAAACTATTTTCTTACAAAATTTCATCTAAATCGGTTCAGTAGATCCAGAGATTACCCCCTACAACGTCACAAACTCACAATTTACAAACTTTACCTCTTTATAATATTAGTATAGATAATGTAAAAATATCAATGCATCAGCTATTATGTAAGTACCGCAGAAAATTATAGGTAAATATTTTCTGTAATCTTCTATTTTGCACTTGTGTAATTTTACTAAAATATGCCCAAGTGATAAATTGCTATACAGTTTGTTCATCTAACAATTTTATGAATAACTCACCTTTGGCTTCACTCGAGTTCATCTCTAGGTACGTTTTAACGGTCAGTACCTATGGAATAATCGACTATATATACGTAAGTATGATGAGTTTTATATCCCATACTTGCGTTACCCATATAAATTACCACCCCACTTTCTTCCCAGAATCTCAAACTATCTCACTACGAATTTTCATTTAAATCGGTTCAGCTGTTAAGTTAACAAAGAAACAAACAGTTACTTTCGCATTTATAATATTAGTAAGTATATATTAGTATGGATGTAGGTACATATTGATAGATGATTAAATAAATAGTACAAATCCAGCACAATATGAAATATATATCGTAGCGGATTTTGCAGACACAAATCAAACCATGAATCTTTGTTAATTAAAAAAGAAAAACGCATTCTGATTTAACTCTACCAACAATGAGTGTAGCTTTGGAAGAAACAAATTGTAAGTATTTTGGCATTCATATCGACCTTCATTAAAATATTAATTAGTTTCCAAAAAGCTAAATATCGTGTCAACGTGACCCATTGAAAACGTTATGTCACGACATTTCGTGTCCGTGTTATATTGCTACCAGGAATTAACATGTGGACGCATGGCTCCGATATGGCCAATATTCCATTTCTTATTAGCATGGTTATTTTCTGCCTAATTCATACTTACTAGATCTCCTTACCTAGGTTTGTCTTCAATATATATATTATAGTCTAAATTATATACCTCCCCACGAGTTGTTCATCATCGTCTCAGCTCAAACATGTCTACTGCTGGATATAGGCCTCCTCTAAAGATTTCCACGAAAACCGGTCTTGAGCCATCCGATTCCAGTGGGATTCAGCGACTTGAAGCTCTTCGACTTTCAGTACGAGGCCGTCACTCTAGAACTTTTCGTCTCCAACGACCGTCCGTTCTGCCAGCGAAGTGCCCAGCCCACTGCCACTTGAGCTTGGATATTCAGCTATCTTCTCATACTTGATTAGATCTCACAGGGAAACCCCTAGCAAAGCCCTTTCCATTGCTCTCTTATGTGTGATCTTGAGCTTTCTGATAAGAAACGAGACCAAGAGAAACAAGACCTGATAAGGTCCATCATGAGCAGCCACCTCTCTGTGTCGTATGTCATCACTGGCAACACATTCTGGTCGAAGACCTTTGTCTTGAGACTGCGGTATTGGAGACAAGAAGATGTTGAGTAGCTTCCCGAAGGCTGCCCATCCGAGTTTGATCCGTTGATTGACCTCTTTGTTCAATTTGGATCTACCTAGCTGGACAGTTTATCACAGGTATACATACTCGTTTACAACTTTGAGCATAGATCCCCGATAGAAACTGGAGTGATTGCAACATAGACTTTCTACTTAATATTCGTCTTATCCATGTTTATTTTTAGCCTAACTCGTTCGGAGCCTCAGGAGACTCGGGAGGTTCGGAGGTCATTGAGTATTTTACTGAGGTCCTCCATGGTCCCAGCCATAACCACTACATATGTCGTCGGCAAATCGTAGGACTGTATGACTGATATACACGCCGTTAATGTTGATTCCCAGTCCGTTACAGTCCAGGATCTTAAAGGCATCTTCCAATGCAGTGGTAAACAATTCCGGCAAGATGACATCGACTTGTCGTACTGCTCTCTGCAATTGGATGGGTCTCGAGTCTAGGTCCTGAATTCGGACTGACATATTGGAGTTTTCATACAAACACTTCAGCACTTTTACTCACGAATTGTTCAATCCACTGGAATTAGGAACCGTCACTAAAGTACCTACTCAAGTTATTCAAACATCACCTTGTTAATAATTTTATTAATCTGTGCTCAACTGGTGCGCTTTGAAGCTATTAACAATAGAATTAAATTGAAGCTATTAACAATAGAATTAATTATAATATTTTAGTAGATTAATTTTAATATTATTATAATTATATTTAATATTGTGGTGATGCAGGTTCATTTTCATATAAATTTATGTATGTGCTTTGCTTGTATTTTAATCTCGATGTAAAATATAATTGTTTTTCTGATCTCCAATATTCATAATAATTAAGGATATTAAATTGTAACTATTATGCTTTGCCTCTTTATTTATAGATATTTTTTAAACACTAGCATTGCCCGAGGCTCCGCCCGCGTTCAGATCACCAAAAATCAAATTCTTAGGTTTTAAACTTTTACATATTAGTATACTCTTACATTGCAGTTTTTGTATTTTTTCTCAGAGATGAGACATTTTCCCACAATAAAAAGTATCCTATATGTTGACCCAGATAACCAGCTATCATCATACGAAATTTCATCAAAATCCCTACAGTGATTTTTCCGTGATGCGGTAACAGACAGACAGACCGACCGACAGACAGACAAAAATTCTAAAAACTATAGATTCGTCCTCTGTATCGATAATAATGACTATTTCAATAAGATTTTCCAAAAAATATTATTTAATGTACAGATTCGGCTTAGAATTTTATTATATGTATATATGATAAGATTTAATTAGATTTTAGACACGTGACTTACAATAAGAAAACATATCGGTAAGGTAAATATGATACGTTCCGTTTTAAGTTAGAGTTTTATTAACCTTAAATTAAAATTTATTTATCGTTGTAAATGTTGCAAAAAAATAGTAGAAGTAAAAACAAATTATTATTTTAAATATTATAAATTTTTATATGTACTTAAATATATAGACTAAAAATGTTTAAATATAATATTATCTTGTTGCAAGATATCAACTTGTAAAACGGAACGCAGTTAGTTTACGAACCCGATGTTTTGACGTTTACACTTTACAGTTTTACTGGCAAAGTTTTGATACCGTTTAGTGATTCATGTGTATTAAAAATGTCTCCTCCGGCTGAATTGAGTTTTGACGAAATACTTAAATTTATGTTGGCTCACAATGGAAAAGTCACGAATCACGAATTGGTCAAGCATTTTAAAGTGTTTTTAATGAACCCCGACATGAGAGGTGAGAACTTTTTGATAACACTGTACAAGTAAACTTTCATTTAGGCTATACAAAACTCATACTTATTTGTATTGAATTACAGTATACTTATTCAAGTTTGACATCAACATATTGTTCATTTGTCTAAGTCTTGATTTCATAACACTGAAATTTGTTTTAGATGAAGCAAGAAATACCTTCAAAAAACATGTTAATGCATTGGCTATAATTAAAAATCAAAATAATGAAAAATGGTTGATTTTAAAGAAAAAATATTTGAATAATAGTGCAAAGGAGAATGAAATTTCAGAAAATAAAACACAGGAGGAGCCCGTAACTGAAAGCAATGTTGAACCTGAACCTATTAGCCAACCACCATACCGTCCTCCACCACCCTTACAATTAAACCAAGATTTCAATATACTATCAAGTATTATTCAAGATTCAACACCTGTTAGTCCATCTCCAAAAACTTCTGTTGATATTCCTCTAAGTGAAAGCAAAGAAAGTTTGACTCTAAGTGAAGAAACTCCACCAAAAGTTCATCCAAGAAGAAAATCCACTGAAAAAAGTGGTATGGATAAAAGATCAAGCATACCTAATTTAAACCTCGGACCCCGTTCATCGATCCCGAACCAAGATTCATCTGAACTTAGTGAAACATTAACATCCTCTAGAAGTGAAAGTATGTTGGTGGAGAATGAACAGAAGATATCTGTGAAAGAAAGAAAGCAAATGTTTAACAGAATGGCTTCAGAAAGTGATGTGATTAAGTCCCAAAAACTTAGTTTTAACTCATCGGTAAGTAAAATATTATATATTTCAATGATCCATAGATAACACACTATTTAAATACTTACTAATATTATATAAGTATAAAATTATAAATCCACCAAACTGAACTTTCATTCTTGATATATACAAGTAATCCATTAGCTAGTGAAAGTATATAGGATATTTTCTATTCCAATTCATTATAAAATAACTATACAAGATAGTCCAGATGTGCTTTTAGAAAAATAGCTAACCTTTGAAGTCTAATAGATTGTAAATAGTAATAGCCGAATCATAAAAAAATTAAAATAAAAAATTTTGTCCCAAATAATAAACATTTTCTATTTGGAGTGGACCACCCTTATCACTTAGGGATATGAAAAATAGTTGACGTCCTATTCTCAGACCTGAATATACACACAAAATTTCATAAGGATTGGTCAAGCCGTTTCGGAGGAGTTTGGTTTCAAACACTGTGACACAAGAATTTTATATAGTAGATAGATTGATATTTTTCCTAAATACTTACATAAGGCACAATACAGATTATAGATCTAGTTTACCTACCGGGATTGGCTCAAGCATTATTATTTCTTTGTGACAAAGACATTGTATTAGATATTTAAGAAATGATTACCTTATTGTCTAAAGGGTTTTGAGCAAATTAAAAAGCATTTGGAAATTTTTGGGCCTTACAGTTACTAGTAAGCAGACATACATAAATTTCAAATATTTTATTAATTTGAAACCTTAAAAGACTAATAAGTAACTATACAACTATTTTGAAATTTAAATACATAATTACATATTCGGATGGCTTGAATTTTATTACTTACTCCTTTTATGTTTTTTAAGAAAACCTGAAGAGATTATTTATTTGATAAAAATAACATCCTGCAGTCTAGACCAAAAAGTCAATATTTTTTGTATTAAATTAAAATATTAATTTTCTTTTTTGGTGTAATATTTTCTTTGCTCATCCTGCTTCGCTCGGGTTTCTCAATTTGCTAACCTAGTGTTAAAGATTACTATAGAATAGATAGACTATATAATATACTCATACATAGGTATGATGATTTTTTATCCCTTACTTGAGAATGATTGATTCCCCATAAAAACTTTCACCCCCTCTTTTCACTTTCTTAAGGGATGATTTTCCGTTTATAAACAATCCTATGACTTTCCCAGTTTCTCAAACTGTTCATACCAAATTTCATCTAAATCTGTTTAGCAGATTTTTAGTTTATTGATTACCAACATACAACAAAATATTTTTAAGACGTTAATTTTTAAGATGCTTTTATTGGCTTCACTTGTAACTTACTATATGTAAAACTAGCTACTCATTTCATCCCTAGACAAAAACAAATCTATTACACGAAAACCGTACATTTTTCCTGGATGATAAATAACCTATAGCTTTCCTCAATAAATGAACTATCTAAGGCAAAAAGCTTTTTTCAATTCAGATCAGTAGTTTCTGAGATTAGCGCGCTCAAACAAACAAACATACAAACAAACAAAAAACTCTACCGCTTTATAATATTAGTATAGATAAAATTATTCAAGTCAACTTTTACTTTAGACTGTGTATGTATATGAAATTTTGATATTTTTACAAAAATTTCATACCGTCAAGCCAATCTGTTGGTGGAGCCAGTACATAGATATTTCTTTTTTTAATGGTTTCTAATAAAACCTTCAATCTTTAAAATTATTTCTAATATTATTTTTTGACGAGCCTCACATTATGTAGTGCTGGTCAAAAGTGTGTTTTTTTAATTTAATATGTGCTATTTTTAAATATCTAACCTATGTTCTTCCTCAAGGTTAACGTTGAAACAAACCTAGCTGTCCGCATTTATCGTAATTATTCCACACATTTAAAACTAGCATCAATACACTATGCAAAATCTAACTTGATGTCTTATTTAATTTAAATTAAGTGACTTATTATTATTATAATATAATTAATATTTTAATAATAATAATTTAAAGTTTAGTATAGATTTATCAGAAATGAGATATTTTCCCGCAGTAAAATATTCCTATATGTTGACCCGGATAACCAGCTATCTTCATCGTCCAGTGGTTTTCTCGTGATGCGTTCCCAGACAGACATACAAAAATTCTAAAAAAAAAACTAGATTCGGTCTCTGTATCGATAATAATGATTATTTCAATAAGAATTTTCCAAAAAAATATTCTGTGTACAGATTCGAATCAAAATTTTATTATATACTAGCCTTGCCCGCGGCTCCGCCCGTGTTCAGATGACCAAAAACCAAATTCTTAGGTTTTACAGTATATTCTAACATTGCAGTTTTTGTATTATTTCTTAGAAATGAAACATTTTCGCTCGGTAAAAAGTATCCTATATGTTGACCCGGATAACCAGCTATCACCATACCAAATTTCATCTGAATCCCTCCAGTGGTTTTTCTGTGATGCGGTAACAGACAGACAGACAGACAGACAGACAGACAGACAGATAAAAATTCTAAAAACTATAGATTTGGCCTCTGTATCGATAATAATGTCTGTTTCAATAAGATTTTCCAAAAAATATTTAATGTACAGATTCGGCTTCGTTATAATTTTATTACAATATGTATATATATACTTAGGTAGATATAGATAATCTATTTTATAGATAACTAACATTATTTACGTCATTCAACAATTAAATTACTTTTCAAAACTATCCAACAACCCTTCCGAAAAGTCAAGATGTTTCTAATGGCTATTTTAATTGGACCCCTCGTTACTTACTATTTACTTACCTAATTATTACCCAAGTTGAGTGGTAATTATATAAATTTTGGACCTCAAAGAGGGTCGGAACACCTGTTGGCCGGCTGTAGTCAAACAATTTAGGGCCTAACTATGTGATAAGTGACATCGTCGCGATAAACTTTGTTAGTTTTACGATTCCACGAATACAAAAGTGTCAAATGAAAGTTTGATGGGTTGAAAACTTTCTATTTGCTATCGAGAACGCTGTAAGCCGTGTATTATAATAGCTTTTGGCGTAAGCTGCATTTAATATGAATTTTGTTATAAACAGTTGGAAATTCTTAAGTGTACTTAAGTTTACTTATCTTTTATATGAAAATAAGAAATTTTATAATGTAAATGTCAATATTTATACATATAATAAAATTCTAACGGAGTAGATTCTGTACATTAAATATTTTTTGGAAGATCTTATTGAAGTACTTAGTCATTATTATCGATACAGGGGCTGAATCAAAAAGTTTTTAAGAACAAAAAAGTTTTTAGAATTTATGTCTGTCTGCCTGTCTGTTGGTCGGGAAACGTATCACGAGAAAACTACTCGACAGATTTTGATGGAATTTGGTATGATAATAGATCGATACTCTTTATTGAGGAATAATAATTAATATCTGAGTAATAGGGATGAACTCGAGCGGAGCGATTGTGAAAATAATACTTTTGATTTTTATGCATTTGGATCGAAATTTTAAAGTGGGAATATTCGTATATTGGAATGACCGAGCTGTGTTAATTTAACTAACTAAATGACAAATCAAAAAATATTTAAAATCTAAACAATCTTTTAGATAAAATCTCACTATAATAGTCGAATGGAGATTTCTGTTCCAAAGGATATGTAGATAGGGGAGTATTCGATTGACTCAAAATATTCTGAGACTCCTTCAGTGAAAATGCACTAATTATATGAGTAATTAGTTTTTGCCCGCGGCTTCGCTCGCGTGCTAACGGGGCGTGGATTAAAGTTAGCATATATCCGTCCCCAGGATGCAAATTTTACAGAATTCTGCTCATCGATTTAAGCGTACAAAGGTGTTTATTTTCACATCTATACATAGGTATAATAAAATAGTATCAAAGCGAAATCTGTACATGAAATATTTTTTTTAAAGCAACGACTTTTACGTATTGTGTACAAAATATAAACCCAACCTAAAACCTTTGTTATTGAAATTTTTGTCGGTTTGTCTGTAAGTCTCTTTGTGAATTTCACGCAAAAAGTACTGATATAAATTTTGTGTAGTGGTAACCTATTACTCGGTTTAACATTTAGGACACCTGTTAGTACAGGAAAAATTTTCATTCCCACGGGAAAACATAATAAATGTCGAGTCGTCCTTAGAAAACATGGCTAACGCTGGCTAAAACTTAGAGACACCTCAAAACAAATCAATGTACTAAATATTGTAGGTCTTAAAGATAAGTCTGTCTCCTAATTTTCATTTGCAATAACTATTTTTATCTATTCAAAACGTACCCAAGGACGCATCCGAGTGAAGTGAGAGCAAGTCGATTGCTTATAATATAAGTATGTATAAAAAATATCGAAAGGGAGCTGGCATATATTACTATTTAGTCATTCTTGGCCATCATCTCCTAGAGCTATAGCGTAAATACAGCATTTATGTATGTTTGTCAAAAATAAACAAGGAGTCAAACCTGTTCAAGATATTAACGCGTACAAACAAACTACTACAGTTTTGCCTCATAAGGGCTTAATTAAACTAATTTTCTTAATAATTTGACCGCACCTATTATTTTAATATGCTCCATTTTCAACCTCCATTCATAATATTTTCGCTAAACCGCTTGCAGGTATTTTAAAATGAAATTGTGTATTGAATTGCGTATAATCTATAATTACGTGGATAATGCTGTTATTATGATGTACATAATAATTTGTACACGATGACACGTTGTTTGACATTAACCATCTATAAACATTTCGTTATCGGGACCCCTATAAATATTAAACATTCTGAATAAGCAAATTCAAAGGGCAAGTAAATTATTAAAATAAAACTATGGAAGCCCTTATCTGCTCTAATAAAAGTTTTGAATAATAAAATGTTGCGTTGGCTGTAAACGTTGACTCCCCAGTCCGTCGACACCTGGCGCTAATTGAATTGTAAAACCTTTGTCATAACCCCTTGGCGGTAGAAATGACGTGAATTTGATCATAATCGATTCATTTTTGGTGATCGGATATCGATTGAGTCAAATCGATAAGT